AGGGATAAGTATTGATTAGGCGATTAGGCGAGTAGGCGATCGCTTAATGGGCGGAGCAAACAAATCAATACGCATCCTTTTCTTATCGCCTACTCGCCTACTCGCCTATCGCCTACTCGCCTGATCGCCTACTCGCCTAATCGCCTAATCGATACGTATACTTTCTTTTTGAATCATCGCCTAATCGCGTAATCCCATATACGATCGCCAACTTTGAACGCTGCCTTGGTCACCTAGTCGCAAGCGCAATCTCGAACTATCAGTGCTACCATTATGGCACACAACTCTGATTTTGGTGATATCCTGAGCTTTCAGTCTCGGAGCTTTTCTCGCAGTGTTGGTCTATGCCATTTTGTTGATCTTCAGCGGTGTCATTGTCACTCTACTGAATCAAGGAAAAGATCGCTTTGAGTCAAAGATGTGTTCTCAATAGGAGACACAACAAGATACGGGAGCATTCTCTAGGACAATTCTGGCAGGAAGCAGGATTTTCGAGAAAAATGAGAATTGCTCATGCACTCTGGAGTATCTCCTCTTCTTTCCAAGACTTTTCCCGATATGTTGTACGCGGTTTTGAATCTACCCGAATGGTTCCCCAGCAATAGTCGGAACTCCCCCAAGGGTAGGCTTGGCTTCCTCCTCCTCTCCTTTTCTCTCCCCTCCTCTCTCCACTGCTCTCCAGCTGCCACTGCATCACCTTGTGGAATGACCGAAAGTGTGCTAAGTAGGTGTTTATATAGCCGTTGGGGTGTTATCACAATCATGCCATTGCAAAACATTAGTAGCGCAAGCCCTGCGACACGATCGTACGTGAGATTAGACGATTAGGCGATCAGATTACTCGCCTACTCGCCTACAACCAGAGTCAACCCTGCGTTGCGCAGTTCGCAACGGCACGTTGAGAGATCCTCAACGCACGCTGTATGGGCGGAGACACAGACGGCTCGAGCATGCGAGTGTGAATGTTCGCGCGAGAGAACGTGTCTAATCGGGCGAAACTGCGCAACGTGGCCGTTGAGAACTGCGCAACGCAGGGTTGACTCTGCCTACAACGCTCTATGGGCGGAGCAAACCAATCAATGCATATGTAGTCATGTCATCAATACGGAAGCAAACTTACACACATACACACAAACAAACCGACACACCCAAGGTTATGGTTTATATAATGACCAGGTTTGCTCCGCCCGCTATCGCGCGCATCACAGGGTAGGGAGGAACCACGGAATAGCAGCATGACGTACTCCATTAACCACCTCACTATTGAATGTGTTATACCTCCTTATACCCCTTCTCTCCGGCGCATGGCAGCGCCATCGTGTTGTCCTGGCAGCACCATGTTCTCCCTCCCTTTCTCCTCTCCCCCACCCTCCTTCTGCTTTTCCCATTTCCCCTCTACCGCCCGCCGACTCCGGCTGCCCCGGCAGCACCATGTAGAATGAGGCTGAGTGTGCTCGTTCGGTGTTTTTGTAGCCATTGTGGGTGTTATCACAATCACCACATCAGGTTAGAATAATACGTCAACATGAATATAGACCTTACTCTTGAAAACGGTTTCTCTCTCAGTCTCTCCTTCCCCACCTCCCCCTCCTTATACCATCTCTCGGTCAGCGCATGACAGTATTTCTCTCTCCTTTTTCCCTCCCTCCTCCTCCCTCTACCCCCTCCCCCCCCCGCTCATCCGGCTGCCACGGCAGCACCATGTAGAATGAGACTGAGTGTGCTCGATCGGTGTTTATATAGCCGCTGTGGGTGTTATCATGATCATCAACATCTCGAAGTGTTGCCCTTCGTACTCCCTGGTTTTGTGAGCGGTTGGTCCGGACGGACAGAACGACACACACCGACAAACCGACACACCAAAGTTCTGGTTTATATAATGAAGTGAATGATGACTGCCACATGCCCTCTCTCTTGCGATAGCGCCAATGACGTTCTCAAAAGCTCGAAATGAAAGTGATAGCGCTTCTACCTGCAGTGAATGCTGACTCACCGACTCTCTCGCTACTGCCAGGTACTTCTTCCTTACTTTTCTTCCTCCTTGTGCTTTTTAGAGTTTTGTGAGTTTTTTTCCGCCTCGTGCTCTTTGGAGTTTTTGGAGTTTTCTTTTCTATTACTTTTTCTCTTTTCTCATCACCCTTTCTGTCCTTGCTTACTGTATCCGCAGTTTCTTTGCTTCTACTTTTACTTTCGCTGGAAATTTGCCTTTAATCAGCTATCGTACAAGTTCTAAATTTAGAGAACAATCAACTAACGAAGCCGATTTGAATTGAATCTGTTCTGGCTGAGAGTCTTGCTCATCCGGCGGAAGTGGAGGATAGGCAAGAGGCACGTTGCCTTTGTAGATGTACGGCTGAAAATCCACTCAAGCAGTGGTAATGGCAGCATGCGATAGAATGGAACCTACTTTTTCCTTAGATTTTACATTCCCCGCCTCACTCGATTCGCCTTCGCCTTCCTTTGACATTTGTGGTGGAAATGCAAGATCAAGGCCTTTATCAGAGTCGCCCTTGAAGTGATGGAATCCTTTGCATGACAGAGCTTCCCAAGGCCGCTCATGTCGTTGGGAGGGATGCATTCAAAAGAAGGCAGATGGTAGGGACACTAGAGCTAAGCCGAGGAGAGGGGAGAAGGGCTGGGGTGGGCACGAATTGCTCACATCCTCCCCCTGAATCCTTTCCCGGCACTATCACAATATACGAGGGCATTCTCTAGGACTCAGCCTGAGAGGGCAGGAGCTCCGGGGCAAATGAGGATGGCTTACGAACACAGGAGTCTTTCTTCTCCTTGTAAAGCTCAGTCCCTCTTTTCTCAAAAAAGACATGTCTCAAAAGCATTGCCATCACAACGCCCCCGTATATTGCGATTTTTCCCTTCCTAAGGCTTGACCTCACGTGCTTTGAGCGGCCCACTCGATAGTCCACCCTAACGACATGAGCGCCTGTACAAGCTGTTTTGGAAACGAATCCCCACTCACAGTTATTCGAGGCACGCATACAAAAATGAAACCTACTGTGGCAGTATCAGCTATGCTTAGATACGTGCTATATATACAGTAGTGGCCAGAAATTTATGAACAAACGGTTTTTTCATGATTTCTCTTTTGAAAGTCACTGGAACGTCTCCAAATTTGCAACAATTATTAACTACGTGTTTTATGATCACCACACAGAAAATTTCAACCTTCAGCTCAAATTTGGGTTTAGAAAATTTTAGATTTTTCGAAATTAATGAAGGCAGGTGAAAGATCACTTGATCCGTTTATTTGATTTAAATAATGTATAAAACAACAGAACAGTCAAGTAACAGTTCACTAACATTAGGCAAGTCTAGCACATTGCCATTTAAAGACAGAAAATCTTCTAAAGTATTGGATACTAAACTGTAATTTGAATGCGGAATCAACTAATGATATGAACCCTCTCTAGTGGGGTCTCTCTCTGTAGTCCCGTCTTTTCGTGGCTCTTTCATTGACATACGAATTTGTAGGTCCTCCCCTAGTGGTTCTGTAATGTTTGGCTCAAAGTCTGGCCTGGCTGGTCTTTTAAAAGCACCCCATGCTGTCGAAACCACTCCTGCATGTGAGAGGCCCGATGCTTTGAGTCGCTGCTCTGCTGACAGACAAAAGCCAGGTCGTGTGGCAGCCATGTCTACGGATACATGACACCTTCCAAAACATGACAGCAAACGTCTGCCTTCATCGCTACCTCAGTCGTGTAGCGTGGTCCCACTTTTTTCCAAGGCAACCTTATCAAGTCTCTTCACCATTGGCAGCTGATTCTTTGGATCAAAACGTTCCTTCTCGTGGCGTAATAACTT